TGTCCAGTCCGCAGATGTGTTGAAGTTGCGGAGTAACTGACTGAATGGTGTAGCAGTGGGCAAGTGAATGCAATCATCAGCCAGTCGCTGACTTGCATTAAATCACACCAACAACGCGTGACAGATACGCATGCGTAGGCTTTCTCTATTTTAGTTTCATTCGTCTATTTACGTTACAAAATAATAATAAATATTTGTCTTCATGGTAATAATGACAGTTGTTAAACTGTTTAACAAACAGGATGTTAAATGTCCCCAAATGGTAAACGTCTAAATAAAAGCTACAAATCCCTTATCATATTCATAAGATATCGATTGTGACATTCCGATCATGAGCAAGTGATCTATGAATCACTATGAAATAGTGATGAATCCAGGTGTTCGCCAAAAGGTGAGCATCCCGCCCCACCGGTGGCACCCGTCACAAACTAATGCAAAGGCATGTCAATCGTTCACCTGCCTTACTAAAGTTTCCTTTCCCATCAAGCTGACACGCCGTGATTTAACTGTAATGCAAGTCAAAGGGGCGATCAACCAAACTCGCTCACTCTACCCTGACAAAATTGTAATAGAGAAGCACCAAACTGAACGCTTTCTGGTGTCCATAAAATTTGTAATGCACTCTCCAAGTCGATTTTGATCGTGTTTTCGGACCAATATGTATGCAACACATGCTTTGAAAATTTTAATCTATCCTTACATGCATATAATTATTTATTACTGCCTTCCAACTATTAGTGAGAAATATTTTTTTTGCTATGCGCAATAACGTCCGCGGTGATGCAACCGATAAAACCGACTGTGTTACACAGAGGAAAGGTATTTTGATTTAAAACCTCCGATTGACATATTTTAATTGTGTTTGTTTCAACGTCATCGTAGAACCTGTGTTAAAATGCAACCTTAAATGCACCTGGAACTGCACCGCGCAATATTTCAACTGCTTTCTTGCATGAGTGTTTACGAAAAAGCATCAATATAAAGTGCTGTTACGGAAGCTTCCGCTCTAGGTGTAACCTGTCTGTATAAAAGTGGACACGGAGAACGGACGGTTCCTATCAAGGCGGAACATGACTACCTATTAATCATCTTATCACAAACCCATATAATGTCTTCCATCAGACCTGTGTCCCGCAATTACCAGTCTCTAGGCTGTATATGTCTCAGCTGGTTTAATCATCTTCCATACCTGATCCTGGTTCCTCTACAGAGCCGCAGAGCTTTCCCAGATATTTGCAGGGGAAGAGCTTGCCTAAATATTGCCAGGAAAGTGCTTGTCCTGACGTTGTCGGGGGAAGAACTTGCCCAGATGTTGCCAGGACAAGAGCTTGTCCGAACGTTGCCAGGGTAAAAGCTTGCTTTGACGTTGTCAGGGGAATGGCTTGTCCATACTTTGTCAGGGGAAGAGCTAGTCTAGACGTTGCCTGGGGAAGAGCTCGCCCAGACGTTGCCAGGGGAAGTGTTTGTCCAAATGTTGCCAGGGCAAGAGCTCGTCCAGACTTTGCTAGGGGAAGAGCTGGCTCAGACGTTGTCTGGGGAAGGGCTTGTCCAGACTTTGCCAAGGAAAGAGCTTGCTAAGACGTTGCCAGTTATAGGCTTTACTAATAGGTTGCCAGGGGAAGAGCTATCCAAGACTTTCCCTTGAAAAGTGCTTGTCCGGAAGACTCCAGGGGAAGAGCGTGCCAAAACATTGCTAAGGAAGAGCTGGTCCAGATGTTGCTCTGGTCGGTGCGGCACCTGAACAGGGTCAATGCTGAGACTTAAGTCCTGAATGTGACTGGGAGAACGGTTCTTGATTTCCTCACTGACATCATGTGCATATGCTGACATTGTGATGCGTCAATAAATTTCAATCTTGGCTACTTTATAGTAGTTTCGAATTTCAAAAACAGACTGTTCCACTAAGATTGCTGTGTGTGGAAGAGAAAAAATAGAGTGTGCTAGGTTAGAAGAGTAATCAGCTTACTGTATCAGAAAACCTAAGCCTTGACTTTGCCAACTCACCCACCCGTTCCTTTGGTTGTTTTGTGGCCAACTTGTCCTACTGCTTTCTCTGAGGTTTTGACTCTCGATTGAAGTTATGAACGCAGGTCTCATCCTGGGTCATGTGGAGTGTGTCAGTTAAGATGGACTGCACTTACTCAAAACTGACCCCAATTGTGTCAGCGATACGCTGAATTGAATTGATGGTCAGACATGACCATGCGGTGGAAAGCCACCAATTCAGTTTATGACGTGGCGTCTTTAGGACAATCAGACCTAGATCATGTTGGATGTCCTGGAAAAAAATGAACCCAGTATTCCTCCAAAATATTAAATAGTTGGTCACCAACTATGCACAGGGAATTTTCAGTAGTATGTTGAAGATAGTATGAACTGTGGTCATTAACATACATCAATAAGAACTGTTTGCATGAACACTACCATAATGAGACATGTTGTCATTAACAATACAATAAGAACGGTTTTCGTGAACCAAATGACAATATAAAAACTTGTCATGAACAATACGACAATGAGAACTATTTTCGTGAACAATACGACAATATGAACTGTTGTTGTCATGAACAATGCGACAACATGATCTGTTATGACCAAAAGGAAAATGAGAATTGTTGTCATGAACACTATGTCACAAAGAACAGTTTTTCATAAACTGTACGATTATAAGAACTGTGGTCATGAACAAGAAGACAATATAAACTGTTTTCATGAAAAGGAAGGTGAACCGTTTTAATGCACCAGAAGTCATTTTGAACGGCTTTCGTGAACACGAAAACAATTTGAGCAAGAGAACAATATGAAAATAGTCATAAGCAAAAAGGCACTGTGAACTGTGTATTGCCAGTTATCTTCTTTGTTCTCGGATGGACAACGTACAGCTGAGATTCATCTGCTGTACTAACCTGTCCGACCCGTGAAGATCCGATGTAGAATAGGTCTTCAGCAGCCCATGCTTGCCTTGAAAGGCGACTAACGGGATTGGGTGGTCAGGCTCGCTGACGTGGTTGATGCATGTAATCGTATCCCAATTGCGTGGACCGATGCTCATGATATCAATCACTGGATTGTCTGCTCCAGACTCGATTATTTACAGACCGTCTATAGCTGGTATGTTGCTGAGTGCGGCGTTACACAACAAACAAACAAACAAACAAACTGACATGTCCAAACATACTGTACTGTACGAGATTTACTGCTCAATATATGTATTAACCTATCCATACATGCAGTTCTGTACGAAATAAATCACTAAAAACAGTGATGTATTAAACTTATCTCTCACTAAAGTGTTGTACGAAATTAACCAAAGACATATTTCATACCGTTGGCCAACCCTGATACAAAGTTAATATCTTTCGTCGTTTTCGTCAGCTTATCCTTTGACGAGCTTATTTCTGAAAACAACAAGACTTTAAAACAACAACTCTTTGAAAAATGTGAAAATGTAAAGTAAGTCAGATAATGTTTAGCTTGGAGAAGATGTCATTCGTTAAGGATCGCCGTTGCTACTGTACTGGACATTTTCACTAAGTGTATAGGCAGTATTTATATAATTTTATATAATTAAAGGTTGCCAGGTACAAACACGCCGACAAACCTCATATTGTGTCAACCAGGCCTGACACGGTACCACAGTGAGACACCCCCGCTGAATTAAATTGTGTTTGGGGAACTATATTATATAAAATAGTGTCAATGTTTCCAAATGTGACAATGAACACCAGCGTGCAGGGATGTGTCACCTTAATAATGCGAGCAGGGGCACGTATATTTCTCATTTTGATTTCATGATTATCATGTGTTAGTAAGTAAACGTACACATTGAGCAACGTGGTACGAGCAATGACATTTTGTTGTGGGTGTATTTCTGTGTCAGGATAGGCCCGTTTGAAAACATTGAAAGGGTTAGAAGAACATCAGTTTGAAAACTAACTAACTAACATACGGGTTAAGTATGCATAATTTCATGTTTGCTTTAATTTAATTTATTGTAGTAGTTATTTGTTGAGTATTAAGTGCCTTGTCAACAGATCTTTTTAAGTCCTGATATATTCGTTCTAAAAATATGTTTTCCTCCTAATATTCAGAAGTCAAAAGAATTCGAAATTAGAGCAAACAAGAGAGCAGGAAGGTTTTTCAGATAGTGTTCTGGTATTTCGGATATATTTTGAAAATACATCAACGTATCATTCATTGCCTTTGTGTGTATTCGAGTGACGACGTCAAATATATGAAAACGATCAGTATAATTATAACACTCACAATTTAGTTAGACAAGTGGCTATCGTTCTGAAACAGGATGGTCTTCCTGGCTGCAAGGCCGAGGTGGAAAACTATAAAAATAACTAATGTCATGCAACCACCAGCTAAATCAAGCATGTGCATGAATTTTCTCCCGCACATGCAAAAGCCCGGACAACGTATAACTTTGCAAACGTAACTGCAAGAAGGAGTGTTTGAGGGAGTACTGCTGTGTGAGTAGCGAAATTTACAGTTAGGGCATGCGCAGTACATGCTTATCCTTTTCATGAACACCTGGTGTCATCACTGATTTTCAGTGATCAAATCATGTAATTTTCAACGCTATTTTCCCTTTTACACCACATAGAATCTGTTTCCGTGGATTATCGAGAGTGATTAATCTCGTGCGTTGACGTTTATATCATCTTCATCACAATGAACAACTTTCAGCAGTAAGACGGGAATATGACCCCAATGCTTCATTATCTCTTGCACGAGCCGTGGCCGTGTCATAACCAAGATATGGCAGCGTATGGTCTCATCACAACCACGAACCGACATAGATCGTGACCATGTCTCTTCCACAATATGCTTATCTGATGATTTTTAATTTGTATCTAAGTTTTCTGTTTATATCCTTAAAGAAGTTGGAAAGAACTTATCTGTATGGGAAATATGACGGTTGTTTATCAACACGACGTAAAAGGCGATCATTATCGGTACTTCGAGTGTATATATATATATACATATATCCATGAGGATGTCTGTAGGCCGTCAGGCACAGTTTCCAGACTTCAAGTAAGTATATGTCTCATAACCACACAAAAACGTTACGTGTAGGAATCCACTGTGCCTAATCTGTTTCGACAGATAATTGGGGACACAAGTGGCCCAGTCGTCTCAGGCGCCGCGATTCGCTGTGCAGAGTTGCGTCCCTTGGACACGCCAGAAACCTATGACTGTGGGTTTGAATCACGGTTCGTCTCGCTTATGTTTCTGGGTTTGTCAGCACCATACCCGTGCTCGTGGGTTTCACCGAAGTGGTAAACGTCTAACACCTGTATCATTTGGGGATATCCTGCCACATTAAGCTGACACGCCGTGATATAACTGGAATACTGTTAAAAGCGGCGTTAAACACAACTCACTCACTCACTCACTGACTGATTATTCTGTGTTGTTGACGTTTTATATTTATCACCGCTTTGAATCACGTCTCAGATTAAAGTAAAGTCTATTGATAACCTGAACAAACCTGGAAACATATGGTTCAGGTCAAATGTTTGTAACAGATACGTCAAATTTAGAAAAGTTCATTATCCATTACATTTCAAAGTCTATAAACACGATGGTTTGTTTTCACATGTTTTTGACAAATCACATCTCCACACGCCGTCGGCTTCAAATGAATCGGGGGATAACTGACTGTTTTCAATGTAGAGCTACACTTCCTGTATCATTGATGGCGTTATATTAAATTTGGAGCAGAACGCCTTATTTCCGCGGTGATGTGGTTGTCAAATCAGGTGAATAATGACATGTGCCTATTACATAAAACTGGGTTGCTTTGTCAAGATGCTAGTATTTACAAATCGGTGTGATATAGTTGCAACATTTCTCTTTACTGTAACTCATTTACCCTTTATTGTAACTCAAAACTGATTCTTGTTTATCATTTTATTGACATAAATGTAAGTAATTAGAAACGCATTTTTTTCCGGTAGGTATGGAACTCAGAACTCTACTATTCCTTCTGTCGTTGTCAACGTTCATCACTGGTAATCTCTCGAAGCAAACCAAACATGGATTCGAGAGTACTTAGCAGGACAACATGAAAGAATATTTCAAGAGTTACATGGTCGAAAATTTCAAAGGAGTCTATGAAGAGCAGTTCCAAACACTGAAAATTAGCAAATGGATAGCTGAACATGTTTCAAAGCGAACAGCACAGTATGCTACGTTTATGGAACCGGTTAGAGCCGTGATATCTCAAAGTTTATCAAATTTCAAAACCGATAGTATAACGTTTAGCCCATTGGTATCTATTTTGGGGAAAAGGGAACGTCCAAATGAACTGAACCCTGACATTATGGCATGGTTTCATGAAGCTTCAGATCTTCTACAAAAGATGAGTAACGGCATTGATTCTTTCTTCAAGTCATGGAACGATGTTTTAAACATGTTACCTGGCGATTGTGCCGAAACAGACAAGGCACCGATGTCAACTGATGATGCAGACTTATCTTTGCTCGGGTTGACCCCCGTTTTTATGAATCTGTTCTGGCCCTTTCGGTTCGATATGAATACAATGAATCAACGTCTGGCTGCTTATGGTTTGACTAAGAAAATGTTCACTAATAACGAGACTTTAAAAGAAAAGTTCTTTGAGGAACTTGAAAATTTTCAAGGCATACGTCTCCCTGTGAAGGGAAATCAGATAATGTTCATCTTTGAGGAAGAAGATGTCGTTGAAGGACTGAACCGATCCAAGCTTGTACCATATTCAAGGTCCTACACGAAAGCAAGGAAACACCTCTACACTAAGGATGAACAAGAAAAGATAAAACTGTTAGCCAACGAGGCACTGGACGTAATTAACAAGACGCACACGGAGCTGTATAGCGCCATGGTTCAAATGGTTTCTTGCATTGCTTTCTTCAAAGACGAAGCTGACATGTTCACAAGTGGGACGGTCAACTCTGCTTTAGGGCTTATATGGTTGGATCCACGACAAGATTGGACAGTGTCTTTCATGACAGAAAAAATAGTTCATGAGTTCATCCATACCAGTTTGTTCTATGCTGACCTCGTCCACGGTGGCTACAAGGATGTTTCCCGCCTTTCAAAAGTCAAAGCAATGTCTGCTCTCAGACTTGAGCCTCGGAACTACGACAAGTCTCTTCATGCTGCTTATGTCTCAGCTGGTCTCATCACCTTCCATTCCCGGGCCGGTTTCCTCGACAGAGCAGCTGCATATAGCCAGACATTGCCGGGAGCGGTTCAGGAACTGAACAGAGTCAATGCTGAGACTGACGTCCTGGATGAGGCTGGACGAGCGATGCTTGATTTTCTCACTGACTACGTGTGTCTCCTTCGCATCTAATCTTGTTGAGTGGCATTAAATATCAATGTCATGACTTTTGTGTTTGTGTGTTTGTCAGATGCCTGATAAATCCGAGAAGTTTGTTTTAAAGCATTAAGGTAGGGAATGGGTTGGTTTTATGGTCACTTTCAACATTTTTTCAGTTAAACCAAAGGATGTCATCTTATGTTGATCACAATGGTGAAATCCTCAATCATGTGTGCTGACAAACAAAGAATCATAATCGAGGCGAGTCTTGGACGACTGAAGGCCTCAACTTGCTTATGTTACTAAATACAATGCTGTGTGCATTACAGGGGCGGTCGGGTAGCCTAGTGGTTAAAGCGTTCGCTCGTCGCACCGAAGACCCGGGTTCGATTCCCGACATGGGTACAATGTGTGAAGCCCATTTCTGGTGCCCCCCGCCGTGATATTGCTGGAATATTGCTAAAGGCGGCGTAAAACCATACTCACTCAATCACTGTGTGCATTACATTATAACGATACAAAATATACATAGAATCATCAGGCTATATTATTGTGACCTTTGGATATTCACGGATAACTTTTTTTTATTAAAATATATATCATTTTTTCTGCATTATAAATCGCTGCAGCCAAGTGGAATCAATTATAAAACAATCGGTTAGTGATGAGAACCAACGTTAATAATTTCGAAACTGTCCTAGGGTATTCACTTTCTGAAATCTTGATGATATTGGAACAATTCAATCCCCCAAGCATTCCATAAATGAACAAGTTCAGGTAGAAAGGATTCACTTTGCTATGGAGGGAGCCTTTTTTTAAGCCCCTAACATCAAAAAGAGTCTAAAGGTAGCTTAGCCACGTATTCGTGTTCCGTGACTTTACTGTTGTGAAATCGTCTTAGATCTCCAACACTTGGGTTATCGTCCGACACGAAACTGACATGGCTTGGTATTAATGAAGGTGTTTTACCTCGACATATTTGAAACCATGGGGTTATGTTTGACTTCATACATTTATAATTAAATTTATGTTGTGTTCATTGAAATTCCTGCATTCTGATCAGCTGAATTGGTCACGTGTTATTACATTCATTTCCCATTACTGAATGTAAACGCATGTAACTAAAACGAGGCTTGCTTCTCAAACGGAAGTAGCATGTAGTGCGCATGAGCGGAAGTACTGAATGTAAGATATCACGTGCAGAATACAACTGAGTTAGATATGAAATAAAAGCGTTGCATACTATGTTATATGGTTTGTATATCGTAGGTACTTACCTGTGACAAGACAACCAAACTACAGTAATACAAATGCGATGGAGCAGTTTGTCTTATTATAAACCCCGTCAATTTCATTGACAATCATTTATAATAAATTTAACAATTTAACTGACGAACTATTTATTAGAATAACGTTATACCATAGCACATGCATACAAGACTAGTTTCTTTGGCGTTAGGGGATTCTCTTGTTAATACTAACTACCTCTAGAACTATAACAATGAAACCTGTGGTTGAGCAGACACCCGACACAAATTACATGCCCAAGGATTGGGAGCAACTACCCGAATATAGTGCCGCATGTATAGTGAGTGAACATCACCGGAATGAGAAGCTGCTTGACTGAGTATCAGTCATTACTGACCCCAGCATGGGGCGCATTCAAGGATATAATCCACGCTTCTGAGCATCAGAAACAAGATCTGGCAGCATGCGATTAACACATAAACATGTACACCAATGAATGATTGAGGGGGGGGGGATATCCCCAGAAACATAATGAATATCTAACTTCCACAATGATCAGGAAATTACAATGACTAACATGTAGGACAACGCTCTTAGTCCAGCGAGCACGAATAATGACTTGCAGTGTACCCGCTAACATATATGACTATCTACTCTGCATGCTACACATGGCATTTAGAGCTTGAACTGTGGTATTCTGGGACGTACGAATGTGGTGTCGCACTAAACAGTCTGAGGACCACCGTCCCATGGTTTTGATCGGGTGGTCGGGTACCTGAGCTGCTGCTGCGGAGGTGGCAGCCCCAATCGGGAACGGGTGGCCGTTGAACTGTTGGTGATCCAGTCGGGTATTTTTTCTGGATTGTCAGCATCATACCCGTGCTCTTGGATTTCACCAATCAGGTAGATCACTTTTATCCAACATCGAGCAGACACAACCTACCTAACTGAAATACTGCGGCGTCTAAACTCACTCACTAACTCACATCGCACGTGGCGCAGTCACAAACTGGTCAATCTTCTGGCTGTGGTGTATACAACAAGCCACTCGCCAAGACGGGCAAAGGGAAGTTTCATGCCGTTGCACTGCATATGGAGGTATAAAACCAAGTAAGGCCTCATTTTGTTTTTCAAATTCAAACTGCGGTATATTTCAAGTGGTTAATTATCAAAAAAATATTATTTCACTATCAGTTGTGTAAAGTACTATTGTCATATGGCAGTGTAATTTATTGTTAAACAATGATTGTAACTGTATTAAATTGTTTCTGTTTGGACCCACCAGACGTTCATTGCTTTGCAATGATCAATGATTCGTTGTCAGAATGTAGCACTATTTCATGTAAGTAGTGGTGATGAAGGTAATATATTTAGAGGGAGTAATTATCTGTTAACTTCCTGAATAGTATGGATAGATGTCGAGCGTGATAGAAACATGTTAAATATTCTGTGATGTTCTGGTGACACTGGACTGAACTGTGTAGAAAGTGCTAGAAGCTAAAAAGACTATGTAAGTGGAGCGGGCACGTGCCTGTCTCATCACATTTCATCTCACAATTCATCTGGTTTTACATCAAGACCAACTTATATATATATGATATCTTCAGCCCAAATAGACAGTGAACTTGATTTCTTCAAAGAGAAAGAGTACTTTTAAGTTATTTCATTCAAGAACAAATTACAGTATGATAAAGATGAGTGAGTGAGTGAGTATGGTTTTACGCCGCTTTTAGCAATATTCCAGCAATATCACGGCGGGGGACACCACAAATGGGCTTCACACATTGTACCCATGTCGGGAATCGAACCCGGGTCTTCGGTGCGACGAGCGAACGCTTTAACCACTAGGCTACCCGACCGCCCCTGATAAAGATAAAAGTGTCACAGTTATTGCTATATTTTGATACGCAGTACGTTTCCATTGTGAGAGGCAGAAGGGTAACAGAGTATATTCGTCTGATCGTATGTGTGTAGTCAAGTCTCTCTAACTAGCTGCATTGTTTTAGTGGTGATGTAAACATTTATATTCACCGAACAACTGGTAATATATACATTAAACTACGTCCACTAGATGTATATATGCTGTATATATTCTTATAACGAACTATAGTGGGGTCATTCTTGATTTTAACACAAAGGTAACCAAATCGTTCAGAACCATTGGTATTGTTGATTTTCATTATCAACAGTAAGTTCTCAACTTTTGCTTTAATGCCTTATATGACTGTGATCACTTTTGGAATGCGTCGACCACAACGTGATGGAAGCCTAATGGCCATTGACATGCTTCAGACTGGTAGTTTTCAAAGAAAGGTAAGAATTTACTAATAAATGGTATATGTACGGTTAGATTATGAATCTGTTTGATGGAGATTCACCATACAAGGCTCACACAACAACGCATAATCGTTTGCCTTAATTCACACGTGTAAACATATTTGGATCTATAATTTGAAGACAACACCGCTCGGTACGATATATATGAGCTGTATTCCTCTTTAAAGCGTCTTGTCAACACATCAAAGGTCGAGAAGGTTTGAGAAGTGTTTGTTAAAACAAGTATGAATTTCTTGGTAGATGAGGCAAAAATACTTCATTGTAATATGGGGAACTCAAAATCATACTTACTTATATGTATAATCTTACAGCTAAGGCACTTGATAGTGGTAAACAATTTAATTCAATTCTGTTTTCAAGAAAAAGATCTGAATCTGCCTTTTCTGACCTTATAATGAATAATATTAAAGTAACATCCGTTTATTCACATAAGCATATTGGGATAAATTTTCAGAATGATGGTCAGTGGTAAATTCATATCAGCGATATTATTTAAGTGAACGCAGTGATTAATTATTTAAGAAGTTTAAAATATCGCCTACAAAGAGAGAGTTTTCAAATATTGTATAACTGTATTATCTCACGTGTATTTGATTATTGTGATCATAATTTATTTGAAATACTGTACAAAAAATGAAGAACGTCTCGTGGAAAACATCTAGATGCGCTTATTATTATACGAAGAAACTGATTATACATCGTTACGTAATCGTCGACAATATCATAAAATGTGTCTGTTTCACAAAAATGTTTATTAAGAAAACGCCATCACATTTGTCAGACGTAATTCCTCTGAACGTATCTACTACATCAACACATGATACGAGGTCATCTTCAACATAATCCAACACCCTCTTTTCCAAACTGAATTATACAAAGCAAAATTTGGCTTGGAATAGGTTTATTAATCAATATCGTTGTTTGGAATCTTTCACAGAATGTAGAAAATCACAACGTATGTTTGTCATCAATAATTAAGTAAACAAAATGCATTCGACATTTTCTATCTCTACACGTTTAAAAACAGTATAAAAGGGCAGGATCGATGAACCTGCCTTGAAGAAGACTTCGGTTGTGACTTTGTAGCGTTGGGAAAATCACTATCGTTACAGACTCAAAGGGCCACATGTAATAAGAATACCCACAAAGACGGTACCTGAATGTATTCTTTGCCTTTCTATTGAGGGGGAACTCGACTTTCTTCCTCATATCTGATCGTAGATAAAGGTTGTTAGGGAGACCTACTTTTGCCATGCTTCCCATGTTGTTTGTAATCATAGAAATTATCAGCTCTTATTGCTTTTGTCAGAACTTAATTCAATGAACTAAGAACTAAATCAAGCCTTTGACATGTCACAGACCTGTTGTCGTGCTCTGATAGTCACGTTCAATGTCTTTCTATACTGAACAACAAAAGTTCCTGTGACATTGAATAAGATTTAATGCAAAGTTATG